AAACAACAGATTTTAAAAAATGCTGTAACATAAATAAAACAAGCTAATCTACTTGAGCTTATTCGATTTAGTTGTGTTAGGGTATGTGGAAAATGTTAAGCAAGATTTAATTTGCTTAATAACCCTGTTATTGTTTTGGTTTGCAAGAGTCCTCCCGCATTGGCGACCGCCTGTACCAACACTTTCAGTTTGACACTATTCTATTTTTGGTCCCAACATGGCCTTAAGGCACCAATGTCTTCTATCAGAACTGCTGTTCAGAAGTGCTCACACCTTTCTGATGTGGGTGCGTGTGACCATTTCTGTAAAGTTCCCAAACCAACAGTCCAACATTAACACCCACTCATCTACTCCCTCGTGCTTCATACCCAAAGTGAGCCAGCATTTAAACTTCTCTCTTCGCGTCTCTTCTTTAATTTGAAACATAATTTCTGTCACATAAATAAACGAGTCAGACACTAATACACTATTATACTCATATTTTAACAGTACTGCGTCCCTACCCTCCATACGATGGTTAGCTTCACACGCAGTCATTGTACCAGTACATTTATGATACAACCTTTAGTCAGCAGAACGCCAAAATAAATTTCCCCCATTAAGTCATGACTTTGTTTACATAAGCTGTTATGAAGCAAGGTCACTTGATGTCTCCATCTGTGCTAAGGGCCCCAGGGGAAATTATCTTAAGCTACGTCACTAAGGATCCTGTGTCAAGTTTCTGGAGTATAACCTCAGTGCCTATCAAATTAACTATGTGTCAGAATAGACATCCCAGAGATGCACTGATCAACCAGCCAGGTACCAGAATCTGACAATTTCCAGCAGTCTTGGCTTTGACCAGTGACCGGTCAGTTAGCCTCATGTATGTCAGATGAGATGGTTGGTTTCGTGCAATAGCAAGAAAATAGTCATGCACATACTTACTGCCATGCTATAAGCAGCATGCATGACGGCTGTGGCCAGTACTCAGTCTGAGTGTAGAATACACAAAGTTTGCCAAAGTAAACCAAGGGGGAACCCGAAGTATGAAAATCTTCCTAAAAACAAACCTAAGCTGAACATGTCCAGTTTGAAGAAGCTAACAAAACCAAAGTGGCTAAAGCTAAAGCTATTCAGACGCAAAGCTAGCCACCAGCTAGCAGCCTCAATATGAGCGAACGATCAAAGCGAAAAAGAGAAACGGGTGAATGTTTTGTTACCTAGTGAAGTTATTCTGCAAAATTGAGTAAGTACCTGTGATTAGTTTTGCTATATGACTGCTGCATGTGCTTATTTTCTTAAGGTAAAATATATCAGCAGGTAAAGGTTCATCTTCAGTTAATTACAGTATATGTAGCTCTTTCCAGTAGCACAGCTCTTTATATTTAGTTGCTTCACCGAGAGAAGATCCTAAAATTTTGCTAACAACATTTTGCATTGAGGAAATGTTGACTTTTGCTCGCATTCTGTTATGTCAGTTAAAGATCTATGAAAGAAAAATATGAATTGTTAAAAAGTTAAAACATCATCGGAAGATCACTCAGAAAAAAATTACTGGAAATTGGAATGGGACAAGAAAATTGCAATCAATACACATGTACATCAATCTCCAAGTTGTTCTGAGCAATCAACACACCCTCACTTACTCAGAATCTAATATGTGTCAAAGAGTGTATCAGAAACATGACCATCTTCTTTCTCAGATTTCACTTTTTTCATTTAGACTAGACTTTCTTCTAGAATTTTTTATGCTAACAAAAAAAAAAAAAAGCAGTGCTTGTACAAGAAAACAGTGGCCCCTAAACAGATCATTTAAAAGAAGCTATAATCAAATTTCACACCATTTAAAGACCCTAATTAAACCTTCCTCTCGAGTGTAAAGTAAACTATTTGCCGGCTTATCATTAAAGAGCATTGCAAACATTTGTGCTTCCTTTGTTATTTTGTGTAAACTGAATCGGCTAAGCACAGCTAATCAAAAGTGCCTTTCAAAGTAAAGCTCAGTGGGGTCCTGGGGTGGCAGTCTCGAAAGCCCTCATTTCCCAAAGAGCTTTTTTGTCCTCTCATAGCTTATAAATTATTAAATATCTGACCTATATTCTCTGTCTTGGAAGGGTTGGTGGAGAACTGGAACAGAACACAGTGACACAGCAGAGTTGTTGTGATGTTTTTTTGTTTTTTCATGACATCTCAAATTAAAAGTGATGATGCTGCCGCAAGCTTTGTCCCACCCGCAGGGACAGTTTAGCAATAACTGCAGAGAAAACAATGGTTTTAATTAGATCTGATCTAAAAAAGAAAAAAAAAAAAGAGGCATTTTTAGCCAACTGTGGCAAATTTAGAAGTAGAGATCAGTGAGCATAGGAAACCAAAACAGGAAGGAGAAATAACAAAAGCAGGACATATAATTTAATATACCTGCACTGTATGCAAACCTTACTTTTATTTTCTGTTTGATTGTTTAATACGGCGGTCCCCAACCCACGGTCCGTGAGTCGTTTGGTACCGAGCTGCAAGAGTTGAGGCTCGGGTGTCAAATTGATGGTTTTCAGGGGGTTTTATCGGTTTTTATCGTTATTTTTTTTTAAGCGTTTTTATCGTTAATTCAGTTTCCCTGGGTCTTTTCCTGTGTGTTATGAATCAATTTTATTTATTTTTTTGGTAGTGGTTTTGTTTTGTTGCATTTATCCGCGACACCTTAAAAGCAGGTCCGTGAAAATATTGTCAGACATAAACCGGTCCATGGCCAAAAAAGGTTGGGGATCGCTGGTTTAATTTATAAAATGCTCAAATAGAACCCTGACCAATATAACTTTTCTGTTTTAAAAATAACAAAACACAAAAAACCATGGAAAATCTATTGTATTCAAAAAAAAAAAAAAGACAAATAGTCACTGATTAATTTTGCAACAATGAACTATTTCATTTGACAGGTGATTTGACTATAGAGAGCTTGGACTCAAAAAGGTTTAGTGCCCTTTGCTTAGCAAATATAACACAACAACAAATAAAAATATACTATGTCATAAAAACATCTACAAAGTCTTACTTAATTAAAAGTTTAGAATCACAAGGAGAAAACTGAGCTAAAAACATCAAAATTAAAACTACTCAACTGCAAAAATACATCCTTGTGAGTGTTATTAAAAACAAGTGGCGCTCGTTTATGTGTCCTTACAGATTAAACATTTAATCGTTAGTTATTATTCATCCCTGGCTCTGTTCCACAGCCTGTTTTTTGTCCTGTCTCCCTGCCCCTCACTCCACGGCCACACCTCTCTGGAGGTTTCTTCCTGTTAAAAGGGGGTTTTTCCTCCCCTCTGTCGCCAAAAGCTTGCTCATGTGATTGTTGAGTGTGCCTCTCTCTTAATGTAGAAGCGAATATTGTTGTGATTTGGTGCGAAATAAATGACACTGAACTGAATTCAATTATAACTATAGAGTTGAAGTGTGTGCCTCTGTGGTTACTCACATAAATATGTGGGATGATTAATCAAGTAATCTAAGCAAATCTGCACTCATGTTTTGACGTTGGACTGAATCTTTGCTTTACTGTCAGGTGCTGAACTATTTTACTTCTTTGGGCCTTGAAATAAAGTGTGAATTTAATTTTAGGATCATGCAATTCTAGATAACTGAAACATTACAAGACACTCTAACCAAACCCCGAAGCTGTAGCCCACTCAGGTATCACAAACCCAAAGCCTCCTAAGTTCAATGTAAGATCCTTTTTCTATGTCTTTTATAATGTGAAAAATACAGCTGTCAGATGAAAGTAAACATTTCCCTCTTAAATTTAAGGAAAAAGTGAATCAGTAAGAGAATACCATATTACTTTCTTCTACTCTGAGTCACAGTATTTCTGTAGCATCAGTACATTTTACCTTCAGCATAAGGCTCCGCAGGATGTTTCTGACAGCTTTGGAAAAGTTTGTGCGAGCTTGGTTTGTGTGTGTGTGTGTGATTTGCTTTCAGATTGTGGCGGTTGCAGCTTCAGTGAATAGGGACGTGACTCATAATTCATCTCTGTGAGTGACACAAGTAAATGAATCATGTTCGAATGCAAAGAGTTATTCCATAGCTGCATGAACTGCTCAAGCCTTAAGTGGTGACATTTTGTTAGACTATCTCCTATAGAGGTGCCAATCCTGTAAGATGATTTTGGGAGCATTAAATCATTTGATGGGAAAAATGAAGTGATGTCATGACTTTTAGCTGTGGTGTGGCTGAGGACTGATGCTATTGCTACTTGAAGAAATGGATGAAACTGGACAACAGACAAACTACGCAGCTTTGGAACAGAGTGCATCTGCAGACAGCCTTGCTCTTACAGCTTTGAATGATGAATCTCAAGAGGTGCATGAATGAAACTATACAGGGGAATATTCTGGAAAGGTTGTATCTAAGATGCTTTGAAACAGATGACGTCTCTATACCTGTTGTTCAGCTATCTGCCCTATTAAGATGCAATATCATCGGAGCAGTAAAGACACAACTTCGTGGCTGCAACATTTCTCGACTGGGGGCCAAACACAGAGCTTGAGAATGTTTAAAGCGGCCTCGAACCTTTCAATAGGTTTAACCAATGAGGGGAGAAGTACAATCAAAGGCTCTAGGGGCAAGCACAAATGCTTCACTAAAATCTTAAACAGGACCTTAACATTAGAGAAAATGAAGGGAACAGCAGTCAGACAGCATTTATCTCATCTCGCTGTTTAATCTGTGCTATCAATGCCACTACACATACATCCTGGACAAAACAAAAAAAACCCGTATCCTCACTAAGATAACTTAAACCAAAGAAAACAAGAGAGACGGGTTCAGGTCAGACAATACACAGACATGGCTGTGCACACAAACGTCCCACATAAAAAACCTGATCTTGGCTATGCAAGCGCTTCGAAATGTCATACCAAACATACCTGCGTGGGGAAATACACAAACAAAGGACTGGAGAAGCCCTCTCAAGCGAGAGAGCTGGCTGCACTCAATGCGTTTAAAGCATGCCTCTGACATACCTCTCATTGGATTCTGGATCCACAGGATGCCTCCGATAAGGTGAGGAGACTGGCCGAGCATTGTGACTCACTGACTGCCACTTCCCTCACCTCAAACGTCCGGAGCGAGCACCTTAACTAACTGTGTATTGACACTCACGGGGAGAGGCAGGTGACCACCCCTGTCCACATGCCACACCACCTGCTGACAGGCGAGCAGCCTCTAAGAGACTGTTCTTGTGGAACAGGTTGAGCGCTCACACGGCGCGCTGTTGCATCACGAAAAAGACCCGTGAATAAATCCTAGCAGAGATGGGTTTATCTTAATGTTCTCTCATAAAAGTGATTCAGAATCCTCCAGAGAAAATGCCGAGGCGACCGTGTCAAAGGACTTCGGCGATCCTCGGTCGCAGACCTGTTAACCGGGGCTCCAATCGCAGAGCAACGTCGAGGCGCACAGGCAGCCACAATGTAAATACAGAAAGAGGCTGCGCGTTAACACGAGGCTTTATGGTGTGTGATCATGGATCAGCACTCTGAATACCAGCCGTACATTGATTCAATTGTACAGCGTAATAATAGGCTCGGAGAAGATGACCAAAACGGCGCATCTAACGCTGACAGAGCAGAGGCTACAACATCACCCAATCACAGCCTTTCACAGCTGACCTGACTGTGTCTTGGCTGAATCGTGTAAATCCTTTCATATGATAACTATACTATTGTATGCAATATTAGAAAGGACACAGAAAACCTGACACGCCGGTGTGGACAGCGCATTGTGAGGCGCCTTACCTTCCACGGCCATGGTGCTACTCCACAGATTTGGGCATCACTCGCAAAGGGGAGCAGACGAAATGTAAAAGTCAACGCTCGCTCATTGTACCTTGTTTGGTGTGTTATCACCACTTTGCTGCGGGCAAGCCGGAGCGCACAGCTGCTGCCGCGCCTTAAAGGATTCTGGGAAGTGTAGGCTCAGCGCTTACTGGAAGGAAGAGGAAGTTTCCTGGGTTTTGCAGAGAAAGCAGTTTTAGCCGTAGCTGGAAACAGCGAGGCAAATGTCTGTGTACGCAGCACATTTCAACGCAATTAAATCAAAGTCTGCAGGACAGAACACACACACACACAAGTTTAAAAAAAAAAGAATAAAAAATTAGCTTACATATTATGTGAGAGAAAGCACGCCCACTGGATCTAGATTTTAAGCTTGGTACAATTACACAATGGAAGCCAGGAGCTGACATATAAGATAAATCCTGTTGTCTACGCAGGAGAAATAATCTGCTTCCTCCTTTTAACTAATCAGGTCTTTGGTCAGTAGTTCATGAGCCAAATGTTTGAACACAATCCCACCACTTTGTTACTGTAGCAGCTAGAGAACAATCAAGAGTTAATTTCACTGATAATTACACTGTAGCTCTTTGTCTGTCTTACTGGATCCTGATAGAACAGTGGAGCTTTCACACACTGGGGCCTGATGACTGGATGTGGCACCTCCTTTGTCACCTTCCAAATCTGTTTCAAGTCCATTGTTACATCAGATGCTTTTGTTGTTGTTGTTATTATTATTATTAGTAGTAGTAGTAGTATTAGTATTATTAGTATTAGTATTATTATTATTATAGCCTAAGCTCAATCTGTCACTATCCAGGTGGTCTGTGCTGTCACCATATCTCTTGAGTGAATGATATATCTATGACAGATTTTAGATTGACATGCTAGACAGTGCTTGACCAACATCATCAAAGCACCAAATTAGAGATCTTAGAAATTAATATAAACCCTACGCTGCCTACAGTGACTACAGTCCAGTGATCACTACAGTCATCACAAAACTAAAGAAAGAGTATAGCATCAACTCAGTCAAATTTCTGGGATATTGATCTAGTCAGTTAGGTAGCAGAGGGGATTGTTAATCAGGTTCAGCTACTACTAACAGGTGGATTATTGAGGCAACAATGCAGGTAGAGGCCACCAGACATAGTAGTGGTGGACAAGCAGAGGAAGATGGCTGTAGTGATTGATGTAGCTATACCAAGTGATCGCAATATTAACTCATTCACTGCCAGCCATTGGCAGTGAATGAGTTAAACCCATTGACTCATTCACTGCCATTGACGGCTATAGACGTCAATGGCAGTGAATGAGTTAAACCCATTGACTCATTCACTGCCATTGACGGCTATAGACGTCAATGGCAGTGAATGAGTTAAGAAGAAGGAACATAAGAAACTTGAAAAATAACAAGGGCTGAGAAAGGAGCTGGAGAAGATGTGGAGGTGAAGGAAACAGTGGTCCTCATGGTAACTGGAGCCAAGCTCGAAGGATAAAGACAGCCCCGTGGGAGATTGGGGAATTAATATATATGTTACTGTTATTTGAGTTTCATTCAGTATATTCAGATTTCTATTTTAACTGAATATTTTCCTGTTCGCTTAGTCTTCAGCCAGGCTGTGTCCCATAATGTGTCTCGCGGCTCTACTCTAGTTAAAGTGGAACGTTTTGTTCAAAGAAGATCTATGCATCTATGATCTATGCATTAAGTAGATGTTTATTGCTTTCTTATTTAAAGATACAGGAATTAAACTCCATCGAGCCAGCAAATTAAATCGACTAATTTCCAGTTTACACGTAGTTGTATTTTTGTTGGATACAATACCATTCCCGTATCGTGTGGAGGACGGTGAATAATGGCATTAAAAGTACACAGTGAGTAATAGAAAGATGACAGATTGTCAAAAGAAAACAATTACAGTTATCAACACCCGTTTTCTCGATCACTGATGTGTGCAATTGGGCAAAAGCAGTTGGTTAACTACTTTATAAGGATAAGAAGAAAAAAATAGTAATTATAACTTATTTTCATGTAGATACTTTATCATTTTAGATACTAATGAAAATACCCCTAAAGAATTTTGTGCAAAGTGCAATTCCTGTCCAAAAACTGAACAGATGATGCTACGGTCCTCAGTGTGCAGTGTTGTTGTAGTTTGGATCAAAAACAGCCATAGTGGAACTGAATGCTGATAAATAAATGAGACACAGACAAAGACAATGTAAGATAATTGCTGGTGGTTAATATGCTGCATTCTCATGACCAATAGATCAATAGACCTATCTCTTTTGTGCTAATTTTGAATGAAAGCAGTGTTAATATCACAAGGTGTATTTTTATTTTTTTATATTCACCCTATGATGTGGCCACTGTAGGTTTCCCAGACCCTTACAGCTGTGATCCTATCTTCTCCAGTGATAGCAAATTAGGTGCCACTTCCTGACCCGACAGAGGGGAGAAAGAGTACTGAGGCTGGACTGCAAGGAGGAGAAAACAGACGTCATGAGGCAGCTGAATTTGTTTGACAGCGATGAAGCAGATCATACTTTGTGAACACAGTGCACAGTTTTTTATTATTGCTTGTCACTTAATTGTAAATCCCTAAAATGCTTTAAAAACATATAATTGAATGCTGAAATATCAGATACACCTCATTGCCACTTACAGGAAGCTGAAGCAGAAGCCACAAGAAGCGCAACGATAACAATGACAACAACGACAAGCATTCTGTGAACATGGACACAAAGAACTATTTAATTATTTAAGAATTATTTAAAATTGGTGTTGATTGTAATTATAGTAAAAATGGTCTCACCTGTCTGCTTGGTTGTTTAGGTCAAAAAGATGAAGACGCGAATACTGAAACGTGCGTCTAAGTTTAGGCAAAACTGTGCAGCTACACTCTCCAGTTTACAGCAAGACGCAGCCTGGTTCATTTATACTCCCTTTAGTGCTTCAACATACAAATGATGGGCGGTATTTTCTGTTAAAGCATATTTGCATGCATATAATGTTTTCACATTGAACACCTGCAGACTTCACAGTTGATTTCACTTTTTGACTAAAATTACCGTAAGTACAGATATATAAGCAGGAAACAGATACATTTTAGTCTCCCATTATCAAACATCCCTAGGTGCTGCTCGGCAGTGATATTGCATGCTACATTCAAAATTATATGCAGATTTGTCCTAATTAGTTAAATGGACTGATTCTTAGATAGCTGCGTAGCAAAGTTTGAAACTTTACAAAATCACATGAAATCTTTTAAGAAAACGTCCTTGAAAGCAGTCCTTGAGTGGGATTTAAGTCTGTATGTGAGCTTCAAGAAGGCTGTGTGAGTACACTATCCAGTTTACAGTAAGAAACTGGCTACCATGTGTACATTTATAGTGCCTCACATTTGAATTAGGAGATAAAAGTTTTCACTGGTCTGTTGCACAAGTATATGCAGTAGCTGGCGTTCAAATTTATAAAGTATGTCAGCTAGGCATGTTTCTCATTGTTAGCATGTTAGTAATCTGAACATGACTGAAAATCCTGCAGAACCAGATTATTAGTTGTTCTTGATTTTACTAACCACCACTTTACTTAACCACCACTCGGCCTTGTTTGGCAGTGATATTGTCTGAAACCTCCAAAACCTTGTGAAGACTTTTCCTGTTCACTTGGGGTTCAGCCACTCTGCAATGAACTAATGGATATCTGATTAAGAACGCTTCCTTGAAAACAGTTACTATTTAGAATTTTAAAGAATATCATTTTAGTTAAAGAGCTTTACATAATGGGAGTTTATGTTATCAGCTCTTACATGGTGTCTCATGGTGATCCTGTGTTCTTGACAGACATGTCAGGGTGTTCATATCAGTTCCAGTCAGAATACAATGTTCTATTTGATAGAAAGGAAAGCCAATCTGCACATTTTTTTTAATCATACAAGGAAGAGGAAGACATGGAGCCCGAGCAAAGACTAAAATAAAACCTGAAAGAGGACTATATCACCTTAGCAGCCGTCGATCACTATTGCACATTTTATTTGTTCATCTTTTGTGCTACTTTGTCCTCCATCATTGTTTCTTAAGGTTTTTGGTTCATTTGCTATTTATGAACATATTTAAATGCAACTTTTACAACAGAATAGAAAGGTGTAATGGACTTTTTCTGATGAGAGTAGCAAAAGGGCATGTCTGCCTTCTCAAACCTAGATTAGAGAATGTTGACATTAAAAAAATGTAACTACGGCGTTACAGTCGGAACCAACCATAACACTAATAAGCAACTGTGTAGTAAAAATACTTTGTTTGGACACTTTTGTGATAAAACTGATCAAAAAGATCTACAAAAAATTGGACCTGGCTGATGTTTCAGTTCATCATTTAACCATATGCAGCTTAACCCATTTCACACTCACCACTCACCACGATATTAGTCTTGTTTATAGCAGGCAACTAAGAGGTGCTACTACACTCAAAAAAAAAATAAATTAATTGGATGAATGTAATTTTATCTTGCCACTTATATTCCATCTAAACAAATCATGTTATATTAATCCATCTTGGTTGTGTTGTGTCAACACGATATATGTGTGTAGGTTTAACATAATATTAACATTAACATTCAATTAATTTGATTTGATGTTTCTATGGCGAACGTAATTAAATCATGTAGCATCTACATGAAATTCAGCAGCTTAATTTGTTCTTGTTGAGATGACATGATACAATCCAGTAAGAGTGGCTGGATCCAGGCAACTAACCACTCTTACTAGATTGTATGATGTCATCTCAACAAGAGATGGTTTACCTGGTAACATTACCTTCCTAAGCGAGAGGGAGGGTGATGGGGCTTCTTATGTGTGTGTCTTTTGTGTGCATCACCTGTGTGATGGAGGGAGACTGCAAAAGGAACGTGCACAGTCTGTCTCTGAGAGAGTCGCTTGTAATCCTC